GGGGCGGGGAATGGGGTGGGGAGGTGGTTCCCCCCCCCGGGTTGTTTCCACGGGGACCAAAAGCTTTCCGACCTATTTAGGGCTCATTCCTGAAGGATGGTGAGGAGGAGGATGAGGGTGAGGAGGATGAGGGTGAGGAGGAGGATGAGGAGGAGGATGAGGATGAGGATGAGGATGAGGATGAAGAGGAGGATGAGGAGGAGGGTGATGAGGTTGAGGGTAAAGATAACAAGGAGGATGAAGAGAAGGAGGATGACAAGAAGGAGAATTAGGATAAGGATGAGGATGGTTAGGATGAAGATGAGGATGGCAAGAAGGAGGATGAGAATGAGGAAGAAAGGTGGGCATGACACCATGTCCCACTGAGCACCTCAGGGGCAATGAACCCAAACGTGGGCTCCACACTGGGGGAAAGGAGCTCCACTTTTGGGGTCTGGGGGTCCCTTCCCTGTGCACAAGAACACTCTGCCCACCCCCGCCCTCGGGGTGCTCTCCAGCCAGAGTTACAAATCCAGCTGTTTTCCAGCTCTCTATGTATCCTGCTGCCACCCTGGGACCAGGACTGAGATCCAGGGCAGCAGGGGGACACCCCCAGGGTGGTTGGGAGGGTGCAGCCCACCCCACCCCCCTCACTCACCTCTCATCTGGTTTGGAGTTGCTAAGCAACTGCACCAGTCACTGGTGGGCTCGGAGCGACGGCTCTGACCGGCCCCCCTGTGTGCCACGTGGGCCCCCGGGATGGGCACCCCTGGCACCCCCTTGCTGGGTTTGTCACCAGTCTGTGTCCTGCTCGGGGCTCTGCTGACCCTGACCCTCTCTGCCATCCCTGGCACCATCCCCAGCCCATGAACATCACCAGCCCTGGCCTTGGCACTGTCCCCAGTCCTGTCTTCCAACATCATCCCCTTCCCTGTCCCCATCCCTGTCCCCCATCCCAATGTCATCCCTGTCTCCATCCCCATCCCATCCCCATCCTATCTGTGTCCCCATCCCCATCCCATCTCCATTCCCACCCATCCCAGGCACAAGAAGGATGCAGGCCACCCCTAGCTCTGCTCCAGAAGACCCCACTCCAACTTCCAGGCAAAGCCTCGGGTGCTCTGCTGGGATTTTTAGATGGGAAAACCGTATCTTTCCCTTTTTTTTAGGATCTCCAGATCCATCACTGCCTGCTCCGGCAAGGGAAGAATGGATGTTTTGGGGGAAACAACTGGAAAGGGAGTTTTGGGATGACATCCTACATTTAAAAAAGTAGTCCCAAAATGCTGGGATGATCATCCCAGGTCCAGTAAACAAAAAAAATTCCACAAAACTGGGGTGGGATGGGAGGAAGAACAGGTGGCATCCTGTTTTTCCCAGCACCCCATCCCCAAAATCATCTCCAGCTGCAGCCCCCTAGTCCCGGCAGAGAGGCCAAGCGCCGGCGTCTCCCGCAGGATACGGCTGCGTAGGAGGGAAGTGAAATGCCAGAACATTTCTAATCATTAACAGCGGGTTTTGAGCCCGTTCCAGGCTTGGCGTTTCCCTCCATCACAGAAAACAACCTCCCCTGGGATGCGATATTGATGCTGGGAGAAGGAATACTGGGGAGGCAGAGGGGATGCATTTCCAGGCTGCTCTAAATCCTGATAAAATAAGTTGAATTTTTGGAAAGGGGTGACTGGAAACATCCCACCATTGTGGTTTGAGATGGTGGCATGAGGTGTTTCAAAAAAATCCTTAAATATTTTAAAAAATGGGAATTCGATGTTGGAAAGGTGCCTGGGAAGGGAGAGTTGCCGGGTGCCGACAGGGGAGCCAGCAGCCAGAGCCGAGGGGGGGTCACGGTGGAGCCTGTTGGCATCACTTCCCACCAGCTTGTTTCCAACTCACCCCCCCACCCCACACATCCCTCCTTCCTGTTTTTCCCAAGGGAGCCACTCCCCTGGGAAAAACCAGGATGGGGGGGCGTGAATCTGGGGATGAACACGGCTTCCCTTAAAAAACCAAAAGCAGCCAGATCCACCTCAAACCTTTACTCCTTATTTTTTTGAACTTTGAAACCTCTCTGGATGGGAAAAAAGGAATTGTAGAGGTTGGGCTGGGATGGAATAGGACAAAAATGCCCCAAAATGGAATTACGGTGGGGACAAGATGAGCAATGTCAAGTCCCTCTTTCATGCAGGGACAGTATTAAATTCCTGTTGTCCTCCTGGGATGCCGGGGCCTAAATCTGGAGCCTGAAAATATCACCTGGATCTGAGCCCATCCCTTAAACCTGGCTTGAGAAATCTCCCAGGAATGTCACTAATGAGGGCGGGGACCTCATTAATAAGGATTCTCATTAAATAGGCACCATGGGGAGGAAACTGAGGATGGGAGGGGGTTTTTTTTGGAGTCATAGTGCCTTTTTTCGGAGTTGGACAGAGTCAAACAGGGAATTTCAGGGTCAGCTCCCTGGAGAGATGTCCCCTTTTGCAGAGGGATCTCCTCCTACTGTGGCCCAATGAGGATTTTTGGGGAGGAACCGTGGCATGGGTGGGGGGGCACATTTTGGTTCGGGGTTCAAATTAGCTTGTTTTGGTGTCCCTTACCGCGTTTGTGGGTGCGACGCTGCCTCCCTGCTCCTTGTCCTGCTCCTCACCCTCCTTGTCCTTCTCCAGGTCAACCTTTGCTGAGGAGCAAGGAGGGTCGATGACATACATGATGGGCACAGGGAGCCTGATGTCCAGGGTGAGGGGCACGAGGGCCTGGCACCAGGGGCGAGGGGCACGGGGGGAAGGCGTGATGCCCTGGGCGGGCCACTCACCCTCCCTCTGCTCCAGCAGCGCCTGGAAGTGCTGAGCGGCAAAGGCCAC